TTTCGTCTGGTGAGCGAGGTAGCCGGAGCCCAATTTTCAAAAGGCTGTCAACGCATCTGTAACCCTCGGGTGTAACAGATGTCTTAGGGCGGCGGTATTCACTCACCATCAGGTGAACCGTCTGCTCGTTTGGCAACTTTTCACATTTAAAAAAAAGTTCCTCCTGTTGTCAGGTTACGTTAGCCCATTATGTCGCCCATTATGTATATTTAGTGCCTGATTGTTTTATAGCTCTTGCTAGAATCATAGTGGTAGGGCGAGCTTCGGCTGTTGCACGAATGGGTCCGTCTGAGTAAGTACCACGACCTCACACAGAGCCGGCGAGAAGTGGAAGCGTCATACTTCTGCGTTTCGTCTGGTAAGTGAGGTAGCCGGGGCCCACTTTATCAAAAGGTGCCCGTAACCCAACGGATGTTTTAAATATCCATGCGTGGCGGTGATCACTTAACATCAGGTGAACTGCCAGTTCGCTTGCGACCACCTTATATAAAAAAAAAGAAAATTTGGCCGCTAAGCTTAAAATTCTTTAAGTTGTAATATCCAGGTCGTTATCTTTCGTCACTTTAGACTTTATCTACTAAAAAAAAATAACTGTAAATGATGTGAGCTTTTCCGAGTACGCCATTTCTTTTTAAATTCGCAGCAACACAAACTTCTCAAAACTTGACACACGGTCATCCGTCATATAGATTATTGCTCGAGGGACATTTGAGGCAGGATAGCCGGTTTTATAGTCTTGTTTTTGTTCTATACAGCGCTTTCAGCCGGATATTTCATTTATATTGAAAATCTAATATATAAAATTCTCGTGTCACGGTCTTTGTAATTGAACTCCTCCGAAACGGCTGAACCGATTTTCGTGAAATTTTGTGTGCATATCGGCCAGGGTGGAGAACCGGACAACATCTACTTTTCATCCCCCTAAGTGTTAAGGGTGGTCCACCCCAAACATTTTTTTGTACCCTACAAATAATTTATATGGCAAAACAACGTTTGCCGGGACAGCTAGTAACATCTAAACATCTCCCGAAGGAATAGCGTAATCTTGTGTTTCCTCAAAACATTGAGAGAACCATACCGCATTACATGTGTGGGTATACATACAATAACATGCTGAGATAGGTGAATGCACACAAACAGAAAATTTTTATTAAAAAAATAAAAGTAAATAAAGTAAAACATTTCAGCGCCCGATTAAAAAGTCGAACATAATAAAGACGCGTGAATAATTTTTTATATAAGGATTTTAATGGAAAAACACATCTCTTTTCCAAGCACCGCTGTGGATCTTATTGAGTGTTGAATACCTTGCCTTGATTTTTTATAGAATCTAAATTGAAATAAATTTTAAATTCAAAATTGAATTCCGCTGAAATCTTTGGAGCGTAGCCAATACTGGCTGCCCCTGGCCGCCTGTATTGTTTGACTAACGAGACATTGGCGTTCCTTCAGCTTACCTTTCGATTCGAAGACGACACGTAGGGTTTCTGCAATTTACGCGAACACTGCACATTGTTAAAACCTAACTCTTTTCTTTCTTTCTTTCTTTTTAAAACATTGCCCTTTAGGATGACATTATCAAGAAAAAAACCTCCTTACAACACAGTTGTTGGTAAGGACGTTTTACAATCATAAATTTCACGTCGACAAGACCCAGATGCGAAACAACTATCTGTGGGTCACACAAATAATTGTCCCGTATGGGTATCGAGCTGTAATCACTTATTCTTGCTATGTGAACAACGTGAACCTTGTTTAAGTTTTTTACTTAACTGTTAATATTTTTGTCTACCAAAAAGTTCTGTAACCGGGACTTTAACGGCACATAAATTACATTACAAGTTATCACGATTCTGGGCTCAATCATTTTCCTGTCATCATAGCAACTGTAGTTATGTATAATTTCCTTTCTTACGCTTCCTAACCGACTGTATAGGCTGCCCAGAATTTTCAGCATTTATATGTTTACTTTCTATGTTTATAAAATAGTCTCAAGATAAGGTTGTGATTAGGCCGGAGGGCTATGTTTTTTTTTTTTACTTTATTGCTAATCTTAAGGAAAAAGAAGCCGTGATAGCTCAGTGTCCGGGCGCTCGCTTTTAATTCAATATACTCGGGCAACCTGAGTTCGATCCCCGATGCCGACACCAATGAAATTGTTAATTTTAAGTGCCGTATTACCACGTGCTCAGCGGTGAAGGAAAACTTTGTGAAGAAGCCTGCATATTTTAATAGAAAAATAACAAAAAAATATTTCGAAGATATGTGTCCAAAGTCCGCTATTCAACAATGGGGCCGCGTGATGGACTATGCCCCTCTGTACAGAAGAGGTCTTTGCCCAGCAGTGGGACATCTGTAGGCTCATACTATACTATAAGAAAAAAGGTAAAAACTGGCGGACTTAATGTCCAAAAGTCACCTTTATCACTCACTAATCAGCACTTAACTAATGACCTGACTGGTGGTTGAAGGTGACGTAATCATAGATGCTTAAGATACTTATTCTATAAAAGTTTCTTTTGTTGCGACCTTGATTCATATTCATTAAATACTCACATTTTACTCAACTGAAAAGATAGATGCTCGCAAACCGTTCCACTTCTTTGATGTACGAAAATCGACATCAAAAGGATGGAGCCATCTTTATTTCTCGAATTTTTGTCATTCTAATTTCTAAATTATTTATCTAAAATTTTCATGTTGTTTCTATCATATCTTCAACGTACGTAAATTTTATAAGCAATTTTCCGCCGTGACACATGATTTATTTTATTCAAATTGATTCCGGAATAACTTCAATTCCAATATGGGTGATATGTCCACAAACTAAAAAAAGTGGTGATAAAATGATCCAGGCAACTATAGACCTATTTCCATATTGCCATCTCTTAGTAAAGTTTTTGAAAAGCTAATATTAAATCAACTTTTAGTTCATTTTAATGTGAACAAAATCTTTCATGATGAGCAATATGGATTCACTAAAGGCAGATCGACAACAGATGCGGGCGTCGCACTTGTCAAACATATTTATAACGCCTGGGAAAGGTCACAAGATGCAATAGGTGTCTTTTGTGACCTTTCAAAAGCCTTCGACTGCGTAGACCATAAAACTCTCCTTCAAAAGCTAGAATATTATGGCATTCGTCGCATCGCCCTCAATGTCATTGCCTCTTAGTAATAGAATTCAAAAAGTATCTATAAATGATGTTAATTCCGCTGGGTCCCAGATGAAAATGGGAGTCCCACAAGGATCAATCTTGCGCCCATCATTATTTTTAGTATATATTAATGATCTCCCCTTTTATGCCAGTGGATGGTGTGATGTTGTACTGTTTGCTGACGATACATCGCTTATTTTTAAAGTTGACCGAAACGTATTAAATTATGACGACGTGAATAGTGCACTTTCACATATCCTCCACTGGTTCACTATTAATAATATGGTATTAAATGCCAAAAAACCAGATGTATTCTTTTCACCCTTCCCAGTATAAGAAGGAAACGTTTTAGTTTAATATTAAATAACGTACCCATTAATCCAGTTGAGCCTGCTGTATTTCTGGGAATTACAGTAGATTCAAAGCTCCAGTGGAGTCCCCATATATCATCTCTTGCGAATAGGCTGAGCTCCGCGGTTTTTGCGATTAGAAGGGTTAGGCAGCTAACAGACATCGACACTGCCAGACTTGTTTACTTTAGTTATTTTCACAGCATCTTGTCGTACGGCATTTTGTTGTGGGGTAGTGCATCAGATATAAATTCTATATTTATTCTTCAAAAAAGAGCTGTCCGAGCAATCTACAATATCGGAGCCCGGAATTCACTCAGAGATCTTTTCAAAGAGGTTAATATACTCACTGTTGCTTCTCAATACATTTATTGTAATGTTTTGTATATACGTTATAATCTTAATTATTACCTAAAGAATAGTGACAGACATAAAATAAACACTAGAATTACTACAACAAACTTACTACGCCATTGTTTCGTCTACAAAAAGTAAATAAGTCTTTCATGGGGCAGGGTGTGCGCATGTATAATAAAATCCCACAGTCGATATTAAGTCTGCCGCTTGACCAATTTAAATGTAAAATTAAAAATCAACTAATGATTAAAGCATATTATACCATTTCGGAATATCTCGACGACGCCAATGTGTGGAGTTGATACTATTGATACTCACGTAGGCTAGAATAAGACTATTGTACCTGTTTATTATATTGTAAATTGATACTTTTGAAAAAGAGCGACTGTTGAGTTTCTTGCCGGTCTCTTCTCAACAGAAACCGCATTCCGAACCGGTGGTACCTTAAGAACATATATATATAATCTTTGATGTAAAATTTGACGACTCATAAGAGCGCGCAAGCGTCTATTTGAATAAATATATTTTTGATTTGATTTGAAACTGTCACAAAATATTCAATAGGCCCTACAATATTGATATAACATATTATATTTATACTCCTATGAATATGATTACGATTATTACGATCACTCTCCACCGCGTTCATAGGAATTCGTTAAAAAGCGCCCTAATTGATTTAATAAATAAAAACGTGAACTCATTTGTGACGTGTGAAATAATTACATAATTATTGTGGTGTAATACATAATATTAAAGCTAAGTAACATAAATCAGTCTTTACTGATTACAAGCTTCTTTAATTGATAGAACCTAGACTCTGGAAACATTACAGGTAACTCCATAAAATCAAAAAAACATTTAAAGTCAGCGAGATATATGAAGTTAGTTTTTTGCTGGTTAAAAAGTTAGTTTTTTTTAAAACACCCCGTGATTTCGACAAAACTGGATCTGTTACAAAGAAAAGTAAAGTTTTCCGATTATATTTTAGTGTCTCTGTTTTGCTTGTGTACGTAACAACATGTAACTAAGGAATAAAATAATAATATACAAATATATAACGAAACTTTGATGAATAGAATGAAACCCTTTCAACAATACAGGAATAATGATCAAGTGTTTTGCTTGTTGACAGTTAAACCAAAATCAGTGGAAGTGAGGACCGGTGATGGTAGAGTCTTGGACGACGGCGCGGTCTTTGGGCCAGTCCTGGAGAGAACAAGGGTCAACGTCAGCTGCGTGGTCAGCGAAGGGAAGCCCCAGCCGAAAGTTGCTTGGTACTTTAATGGCGAAGAGAAACTGGACGGTAAGTGGAATGTGATACTTTTTAAATAGGAACAACTGGAAAAAATACTGAGTTTTATGCACTGGACAATGTTACAACCGTACTCAACGCACTGTTTATCTTATAACTGTCATATAATCCATATTTTCAATTTTCTTTTGTAATTATTCTTTTCGTGTTGATAGCAATACCTATTTAGACGGTATCGGCCAAAATTCAGCAACGGGAATTGCACTGACAGCATCATTCATCAGGTCTTCCTGAGTAGCGAGTTAATGCAATTAATGTTTTTATGTTTCTAGTTGTTTTGTACAATATACTTTTTCACTACGTTAAAAATTAAGATTTGTATTTACATAATAAATTGTCGTTAGGATGACAATTTATTATGTAAATACAAATCTTCCGATTTAATGTCTAAAATACGTCTAGAAATCACTCATGCTTAAAACGATTATACAAGCGCAAATCCACGGCTCATATGACAATATCATAAATAAAAACGTGCGATCTGAAATTGCAATAGATAACTGGAACGGGGCTATTAATTATAATTCCAGAGCACTCGATTTCAATAATATCGCGGCTGCGGCCGCGTGATAAGCGAATCTGGTAATGCACTGCGTTGTAAAACGTTGGCAATTGTTTTGTGAAGCAATGTAGCGGTCTCTATGAATACGACTCTACACATGTACACTTTAGCTTGAGAATAAGCTGGCTTACCCAGAGAACTACTAAAGCCTTGCGGAAGAGTAATTACGCAAAAAGACGTATATTACTTAACTGAAAGTCGCTCGTGATATCCGTATATCAATGGATACCGATACTCACCTTTTTTTTGGTATCGGGGGGGAAATGTTCATAATATCACAGGGTTATGTGGGGTTCGTACCCACTAAAACCCTTGGTGGCCACCTTCTGTATCTTTGGAGGGACTCCGGGATCTCCTACGGAACGCACCGGTGACCGATAGTCGCCTACGTGGCATTTAATCCTATGAAAAAAAACCTACTTATATCATTTCCTTTGAGGTTTTTGTATGTCTCAAAGCTCCTATCTGTCTATTACTTTTGATAATTTCTATGAGTAAAAACTTAAAAGACTTGATTCAAAATCTAAAATACGTTCGTTACAAATTCCATCTTAATCTGTTTAATCGTTTTAGCTAAGAATGGGATCAAGACCATATACACAAAGTTTCACATTCAGCACACAGTTTCGCCGTAAATTTGAAAATATTAACCAAACGCACTCGTACATAAACTATTCACAATTTATTAGTTAAATTAAATTATTTTACGGATTTTATCGCGTCTGAATTTTAATTTGTGATTCCTTACGTTTCGAACCCTTCCCAAGGTCACGCAGCAGTCGGAGCAGTCTTTTTTTATGGGAAAAAGGGGCAAACGAGCAGAAGGCTCAGTTAAAGATAAGTGATCACCTCCAACACTGGAGGGTTTACAAGTCCGTTGGCGGCCTTTTGGCTAGAATATGCTGTCTTCTTGAAGGTTCCCAGGTCATAACGGTTCGGAAAGACCGCGCGTACAGTCTGTGACCACTCGGTGGCGCAGTTGCTAAACTATTAGATTTGACTTCGGTGGATGTAGGTTCGATTCCCACACGGGACAAGTATTTGTATGACCCACAGATTCTTTCGAATTCAGAATTGATCCGGATCTGGATGTTTGTTTCCCAAGGAGAGTTAAGGTTAGGCAGGCGGCTGATCGTAAAATACAGCCAAAACGATGATTCGTATGTTATATTATATAAGGGCAGGATGATGATGATTGACCATACCTCAACTTAAAACAATTGGGCCCAAAAATCCCCGCCTATCTTTTTTTTTTATTCTTTATGTTTAAGAGACTAGCGTAATCTACATGTCAGTCCCATCGTGCCCACATCTTATGTCATTTACAACCACAGAGAGAATGTAATCACTACATTTCCAACTTTGATTTTGACTTTTTACTAATACTTATTTTAACCGTCTATCTCAATAAAAAGAATTAAAAACGGTTCAGATTACACGACATTTTAATAAACATATCACCTGATTTTAAGCGCTACCTATCAACATTAACCAGACACGATAGGAATTCCCTTTGCGCCAAATTAATAGACTCCCGTTCGGTGTGACCACGCATTCGTTCCAGCTTTAGTTTAGAATCGGTACCCACATCCAATATTCCATTTATGTTCTCCAGTGAATTACCAATACCGCGTTCCAGTATTCACGGTGTGCGCCCGATCGAAATTAACTATATCTGCAGTGGATTAGCGGTCGTCTACGTAAGTAGGTACATCGGTATCGATAGGCCGCGCATTAACTCTAATCGAAACTAAATCGGAACCGATTTCGGAGATTAATATCCCAGATCGTGCTAATGGAGGGTTTTGACTGATTTTAATCGCCAAATGGTAGTCGATGGTTGTTTATGTAGGCAGTGTATGTTGCCGCATCGGCTTTGCTTTATTTAGATGCGGTAGGCTGGTCACGGCAGACCACAGCGCATTCCCTTTTCCTATACAAGTGAATTTGAAAACGTACCATTCGTTTTCAAAGAAATAGAATATATTTTTACCATCATCTAACCGAAGGAATATAAAAGTATTAGAACATATGTTCGTAATTTAAGGTAATATGTTCGTAACGTACATTAATTTCGTCTTTCCTTTCTAAGATTACAACGAAGGCGTCTTCAAGGCAAGAGTGAATAACTATTCACTCTTGCCTTAATATAACCTTAATGTAATATAACTGATTATTTGCGTTTAAACACGTCACGTGATGATAACGTTTAAAGGTGAAAAAATCATGTAAATAACGAACAATTAATATATAAATAACTAATGTCTGATAACGACGTTATTAGAATACTGAGAAACAAATATAACAAATATATACAATAATAAAATTAAAGTTAAAACAGAGAGTTGTTCAGAAGAAAACTTTCGAAGCTTTCAACATTCGATGTATTGGATAAATAAATGGAAACACAAGCGATCGATCTCAAGTGTATTGAGATATTCATAAGGAGTGCTACTATATATTCAATCGCTGCTCCGAAACAATAAAACTGTAGGATCGAACCTACGACTCTACAGTCGTGGTAAACATTTTAACGTGAACCGTTTCGCGGTTTATCCCGTTCCCGTTGTGAATATCAACGCGTATTCAACACCCACCAAAACTGTTGAACTATGCAGTCTGTTTTATCAACAAATATTTGTTTCTCAGTCTCGCGTTTTAATTTATTACTACTTTGTTTTATCACCAATATCATTACCATAATTATATCTAAAGAATAAAATATATAATTACATTTCATTATATTTCTTATACACTTGTACATACGCACCAATACATCTTCATCATCTTCTTACTTCTCTGACATTATTGAAATACATTACAAATAGTGTGATGGGCAGTATTCTATTCAAGTCTGATTTGAATTCCAATATCTTCAAAAAATTAATGTGTCTTCACTTCGTAGCAGAAGTCAAAGTGGGGACCCTTCTCCCGCATCGATACGACCCTCTAAACGTGTGAAATACTAAATTTAAGCAATGTGTTTCGAGAAGCGGTAAATGCTTAGTAGCCAGTGATATAAACCTGTCTAGGCTACGAATAAGAGTAATGTTGATTCTACAATTAAAGTTTAAGCAGTCGGATTGAACAATAATGTTTCAGTTACTTGTTCTGGAAACTTATATCGGGTTTACCCATGTTAAACACGCCAAACTGTCTTTTTATAAACCCAGTTTTAAACTCGGTTAAATAAAACCGTTTTACGAATTTTACCGCGTTTTAAAGTTCAATTTTTAAAGTTCAGTTAACGTTCCGAACACTTTACAGCATTCGTGGCCACGGAACAGGCTAAGTTATTTTAAACTGTTGACAGAACGGAATATCAATTGTAAACTGGATTTAGTAAAAGTATTATCTTGTATTTTTCTTCTTGAGTTTTTTCGCTTTGCTTTGATTCACCGAACTTTTTCCATCCGAAACGACAGAACGTCACGGTTACAAAGTACTTACAAGAATATTAACAGGTAAATTTGCATTCTTTTGTTATATTTGACTTTTTTATTATTCGGAATTATTCAAAACCATTGTTCAGTATCCTGCGAAATCATGTCGGATTGATTTCGGCTTTTTCTTCAGAAAGCTTAAGGTTATACGTAAATGATTTTACATTTATATATAGCCTGCATAGTAGCAAGTAAGGATTAAGTCCTTCGTTCCACAAGTAATAAAATTTTTTGCCGTATGGATTTTTCAGAATTTGAAGACATCTTTTCTTATTATTTAGTAGGATCACTAAAGTTTTTTATTCCAACAAATAGATTTATTACCCATTAATCAACTAATCAAGGTTTACCTACAGACATAATCGAAAATTGAACTATAATTATTCAACATCGACTAGTTGCACAAATTGCAGGAATTTATAATTCTTAAAATTTTCAGATAATTCTGATTTTAATTGTTCATACTATAATTCATTTCAAAATGAAAAGTGAAGACAATCATTCCAGTTTAAAATTTTCAGCCAATTTTCATTTATGTCGGCAATCCACGTGTTTTTTTTTTTTTTTATAAAATTTGCTTCAGCGTTTAGAAGGCATATTCATAAATTAACTAATAAAAAATTCTCTTCGCCCGAAAAGAAAATGTGTAATAGTTGACTCGAAGAATGGAATTTAATGGATGTATATAACGCAATGAAAAATATATGTGTCCCTCAAATTGTTCACCGCGATAGGCTCTGTCTAGACAACTTAATTTGTGCAATGTCACCTTTGAGTTGGAGCTTAATTCTAAAGCAAATACAAAACATGGAGACATTTTTACTTTCAACTTTGAAATCTTCACAAAAGACAGTCTCTTTTTACTCGAGGTGACACGAGAAACGACGGTTCGTCTGATATTGAACGATAATTATTGACGTCTACAACAATGATATTATATACAAACGCGAGATAGATTCATATTCATATCTGGCGTCATCACCAGC